TTCGAACCGCGATATCTCCGCAACCACGCAACCTAGCGCCGCCGTCTTTGTCTCTATGGATAGCGCGATTCTTCCGTTTTAAATTTGCCGCCTCGGCCGGTCGAACCAGGCAAGAGCAAGCCCACAGCAAGCCAAAGTGTAAAGGTATCACAACAGTTTCCGATTGGCGACGCGCGTCACGTGACTGTACGGCGGCTCCGCATTGGTCGCCCATGCGGTCGCTTGTAGCAATCGGCGCAAAAATCGTCTGCTCTACGCGCTGACGGGCCACTTACTCCATTTGTTTTCAACTCGTCGCGGCGTGGTTTCGTGCGGTCACTTGTAGCAATCGGCGCAAAGGTCGTCTGCTCTACGCGCTGACAGGGCTGACGGGCCGCTTACTGCATTTGTTTTCAACTCGTCGCAGCGTGGTTTCGAGATCGCATCGCGCTGCGATAAGACCGGCGCTCGTGAAAGCAGAAAAACGTTATCCAGTTTGGCGCATTGCAGTTTTGAGATCGGTTCCCGCATGCGATCATGGACCAGCGATCGTTCAAGAAGAAACGCAAGACTGCGCAGCGATTTGGTGCTCGTAAGCCGAAGCCGCCGATCGTGAAAAAGAAATTCAGTCCACCAACTTCTGCAAGCAGCGACGACGGCGTGCGGCACGACGAGGACTCGCAGCCGAGCACAAGCACGCACGGAGCATCGACAAAACTGTTCATATGCCTGTGGAGCAGCGCTTTGTGCTGTCTGAGGAAACATCCGTTCGTCGTTCCGCACAGGCTGCAGCCATCGCGGATGCTAAGCCTAGCACTTCGCGCGAGGATGTAGATGACGCGGATGCTAAGCCTAGCACTTCGCACGAGGATGTAGACATCGCGGATGCTCAGCCAAGTACTTCGCGCGAGGATGCGAGGCCGTCTACCAGCACCACCAGTAGCACGATTCGGGCCCGATTAGAGCCTCGTTTCGTGTCAGCGGAGGAATCTCGCGAACGCGCCGCGGCTGTTCAGGAGTCCCTAAGAGCAGTGTCTGCGACGAAGTGTAAGACGTCACTGATGGACCAAGGGGACGAGAGCTACATCTAAACGGAAGACGAAGATGAGTTTTTCCTCGTGCAACGCGCGGCCCTGAATGGTCTGTTTGGCAGTGCCCTGTGCCCGCAGTGCTAAGAGCCGGGACTCAAGATGAAGCACGGAACTAAGCACGGGTTAGCGGTAAAGATGGTGCTCACCTGCACTGCTTGGACGCGAAAAATGCGTGGTCGTCGCCGCGAATGGAAAACAGCAAGTCATTTGAAGTAAATATTCGGGTCATGCAAGCTATAAAAACTATTGGAAAAGGATCAGCTGCACTCAGTGATTTTTGGTCTGTGATGAATGTATTACGTAGGGGAATTCACCACAAGACTTTTCAAAGGCATCTCAAGGGGGAATTTCGGCCTGCTGGCGCAGCAGCCGCGGCACGTGTGTTTTGCGACGCTGTTGCAGCCGTTCGCAATGTGTACAGCCAAATGGAGGGAACACCCACCAAGAATGTCACGGTGGTGTACGACGGGGCGTGGATGACACGCGGCCACGCGTCCCACATCGGAGTGGGCACGGTCATTGAATTCTACACCGGATTAGTGCTTGACAGTGTTGTCCTGTCCAATTACTGTCATGGATGTGCTGTGGGCCCCAAAGAAGGCGACGACGGCTACATTGAATGGAAGGAAGCGCATGTTTGCCAGAAAAACACAGAGGCAAACTCGGGCGAAATGGAAGTCGAAGCGGCCCTCATACTGTTTCGGCGCTCACTAAAAAAAAAATGACCTGCGCTACACAACCATCATTTGCGATGGCGACAGCCGCCCTTTCTTAGCTCTGTGTCAGGACCAAACTTACGGTTTTATACCCCTGAAGAAAGAAGATTGTATCAATCATGTTAAAAAGAGGATGGGCACAGCCCTGCGGGCCATCGTCACAAAGAGCAAGAAAGACCAACCTATCGGCGGAAAAGGTGGCCTTACACAAAATTTGATCAAGCAACTGACTGACTATTATGGCCAAGCCCTTAGGCAGCATGCTGAAGTGGGGGATATGCAGCGAGCGGTCATGGCTGCATTCTACCACACCACTTCGACTGACCAGGATCAACACCACGAACTTTGCCCACCAGGTCCTGATAGCTGGTGCAGACACCGGGCTGCAGAAACTAAAGGTGAACCGCAGCCACCCCACAAGTACCACCTGGGATGACACGTTGCCGCTGCCCTGCTGCCTGTGTACCAGCGACTTTCGGACGCACAGCTTCTTGCGCGGTGCCAGGGCAAAAAAAACTCAAAATGCTGCCGAAAGCCTGCACTCAATTATTTGGTCAATTCTGCCCAAAGAAGAGCATGCTTCATTGATAGCCGCAGAAACTGCTGTCAGTGAAGCAATCTTTAGGTATAATGCTGGGAACCTCCACGCCTACACCCAACTTTGCACATATCTTGGTCTCCAACCTGGACGCCATGCGCTTCGTAGAGCAGCCGAAAAAGATGCCATGCGGAAAAAAAAGGCTGCGAAAGCTCATCAGGCTAAAGGTCAGATGGCCAAGCGACGCCGCACTGCAAAGGACACTAAGGACTACAACCCTGGTGCCTATTAGGCATGTAAACCGTGACTCAAGACTTTGAACCTCGTTTTCTCAATACTGTTTTTTTGGCATGTTGCTCAGCTTGTGGAGCAGATATCTTCGCAACTACTTGACAGATTTTGATTCTGTTTTTTTTGTAATGCTCCTTGAACTGTGCTTCAGGGGGCTGCGTTCTTATTTTTAAAATTTAGCCTTTTAAAAATTTTTGGTAGGGTTTCTTGTTTGTAGTGCAAATGTGCTCATTGAAGTATCAGTGGAGAAAACATGAACTACAAATTTTACTGTTGCAAAAAAATTATTTTGAAAACGCAGCCCCCTACAGCATACATTCACCTCTGCACACAGTGTTTACCAACTTTCTATGTCATTTTTTAAACTCTCCAGCCACTCCACAAGGTCCAGTAATGAAATTATTTGTTTCTCAGAAAGTTTTCATGATATCATTTTGAAATATTTATGGAAGCATTATGAGGTCATTCTTAGTCTCTGTGCCAGTTTTCATCAAGATCTAACCAGAAACAAGAAAGCTCGTTCCGAAAGGCACGTCCACGCTTAACAGAAGAGGCCCTGTTACACGGTTCGTTTTGAGCAGATTTTTTTTGCATTGAGTCTATGGGAAACAAAACAAACACTCCCGTGTTGTTCGTCTTAAGCAAGAATTCATCTTCACAGAGTTCATCTCAAAGAAAGTTTCCTGTACAGTGAAACTTCGTTAATAACCTGCCACGAGTGCGGATTAACTACACACTAAATGGCTGTTCACATTGACCAACAAGAGCAAACCTTCTGACCAGGATGTAAAAACAGCGCAAAAATAGAGACAAAAGACTGAAGAAGAGACGACCCAGATGCTAAAGTCTTTGTCCTTGCCTCTGTTCTGCTGTCCATGTTTTTATTTTGCACTTCTTTTACGTCTCAAGCATGGACCACCAACTAGCCCAACTTTCTCTTCCAGTGCAAATCTGCTGACGTGGCTGTCGCCACCAACAAAGACATAAATGAAGTGCGGCAGAAAATACTGCCTCAAGTACCCACCAGAGCGCCTTCTCTATTTTCGTCAAAATGCAGAAAAGATTCTGGCTGTCTCGCATGACCGCCCAACCGCGCGCGGTGGCGAAAGCAAAGCACATTGCAAAAATATTGCTAGGTCTGGAATGCGCAACGACTGATAGAGTAAAAGAATGCACAATACAGGCTTTCTGCGTGACATGTTTAGTCTCTGTACCACGATCTGCCACTAAGCAAAAACTGACACAGTTTCACTATACAGATCATTTTGTACAGTGGGTCCCAATGTGCTCCCCTGTCCTTGGGACCTTCTTCTGCATATCCTTCAAGCTGTAACCACGCTATGCAAAAAAAAAATCCTTTGATTTCATTTGATTTGAAACATGGCACAGCCGAGTAAAGCCGATCAACCCTGGCTAGTTGCATGCAGCCTGTCGCCTAGTCAGCTCATGCTGACACTGCTAGGCTGCTTGCTGTACCATATGCGCGTTTGCCGTGTAAGCATGCGAGTGTTCTTCATATCCACTCCACTAGAGACCATGCACAGATGCAGCGATTAGCTGGTTTGGTCATGGCAGAAATTATGAGTTTCCGGAAGCCTTGACACTGGCACTCCATGACGTAGCTAGTGACCTCGACGACGCTGGGGTGAGGCTCCTCGGAGGTGCTGCTGCATCTTCCCACTGTCCCGGATGCACAAGCAGCAATCTCCAGCATGTCATCACATCAAGCAAGAGGCCAGGATTGTGTTAAGCTGAATCAACGAGGACCTACTGACATACTGCCGACAACGATCGGGACCCGGCGCACGACAGCCTGACTGACCGCTACGTTTCGGCCCTACGACCCTACGACAAGCAAGGCCTAACAAGCAAGACTTAAGTCAGCGAACTTAGCTAGATGTAGCAAGAACGTGTTATTCTTTATGTCAGTTTACTTTTCAAAGATTTGTTTGTAGTTTTTAGGGTTTTGTTTGTTTTTTGTTTTACAAAGCACTAAGTTTTCTCTTCGTTTTTTTTCCTTGGGTTATTATTAACCACCTTTACTGTGCCGCCCAGCACCTTTCAGTCTATAGCCACTAGCACTTACCCCTAAGATCCATGATACATGCAAAGCTTTTCAGAAGGAAGCAGACTTCCGTTTTCGAAAGAGTCTATGTTCTCAAGATTCCAATTTCTGGTGATATTACTATATTGCTTTATCCCCTCGTATTTTTTTATTGCTGAGATGATAAGTATACTCTCCCTTGCTTCTACTGTCTAATTTTTATAGCGAGTACCTAGCAAAAAGTTTTTCTTTTTTTTTCTTTTGCCAAGCTAACTCGTTAATGCAAATTTCAATCAGTAACACTTTGCTCCTTACCATAGCAAGAACTGTGCCTATCTCACCTTGGATGAGAGAACAGTTGAAGCATGGTCTGCCGATCATCGTCCAGCTGCAGGTTGGCCACCAGGAAGCCGCGAATGATCTCCCAACACTGACGCCGGTAAAATGAGTCAGTGCCGCTTTGCTTGAGGGCATTAAAGGCTGTCTCAATCAACTGCACACAATGAACATGCATGCCAAGCATGTAGGCAGGTGCGAACCATTCATTAGATGCTTGAAACAAAACAAATTATTACACAGCCTAACGCACTAAAATGTCACAGGGCCAAAATAACCACTGCACACACAGTAAAATTATGTAAATTTGCCCATGCTGGAAACATGGCATGACTATGTACTAAATGCACCACAGCTGCCATCAAGAAATACATTGCCACATAAACACTGCCGAGTGCAATGCATTTTCAGAAAAAAAATATTGCTCTGCAGTACGACCATCTAATAGCACATGGTTGTGATGCCTAGCGGCAGTGGTGATCTAACCAGTTAATGATTTGAAGCAATTTTCGGAGAAGGAAAAAGGTGTATTGGAGTGGGTTTGAGGCAGGAGGAACTGTGTTTCAGAGCCTGTTTGGAGCAGATAAAACCAAATTTAGGACCCTTTGGTTCAAGGCACATCAAGTCAAGTCAAATTTTATAATTTACAACATGCACTAATTACAATGTTGAAGGCCACCTTAGCAAGAAAGCCGTAAGCATACAGTTTGACGAGGCCAGGGGGCTGCAGCCAAGTAACAGCAGAAGTGAACGATTGTGTAGTACAAACAACGCTTTTCGTTATTGTAGCTTCATTAATACAGTCGAACCTCGATATATCGAACGGCGCGGCGATCGCGAAATAGTTCAATATATCCAGAATTCGATATAAAAAATCACGAAAAAAATGCGTCAACAGCTTGATGAAAACAACCAACGAACCGTTCAAGCGTGGTGCAGTAAATACTCACTTGAAGATTCAAATATAGTATTTGTTGTGTTGGTTTAAAATATTGAAAAAAAGTAGCCTGCTTTTTGTTGGCCATAGCGTGTTTGACGACTGCGTCCTCAATATAGTTCAGGCGATCCATAAGTGATAGGCCGGTGCCTTCAATCGCGCCGCAGTGGCGGCGCACAAAGGCCAAGGCAGCAACGACCTCAGCTGATGTCAGGAGCGGGGCACCATCAGCGCTTGCGGGATCCACCTCGGCAGAGTCTTCATTTGGCTGCTCAGCAGTAGCTTCGGCGACAATCTCCACATCTGTGAGCTCCACCGTTGTACCAGTGATCTCATCACCTCCAACGAAGTCTTCGATGCACATGCTTTGCGGCTCGGCACCTACAAAGCTCTCCAGCTTGCTCCAAGTGCGCAGTGTGCCGTTGACACCATAGAGACTGCAACGACTGCAAGCTGCAAGGCTGCGGCGCGCGTACGCCGCTACGTTAAAGTGGCGCTCTCAGCGTTATCGATGTGTGCAACATTTGTAAACACCCGCCGCTCTACCGCTACTTTCGAGAGCTGCGGGAAAGCTCGCCGCCTGTCAATGGAGCACGGGCGGTTTGGGGTGGCCGAGTTCGATATATCCATTATATTGACGCAAGGTAGGCTGGCAACTATAGTAGCCAGCCTCTGAAGAGGACAACGAAGTAGTTCTGTGTGCGCGTGCTCTGGTGTTCGGTTTTCTGGCCCTTGGGTTGCGAAAGTAAACGCCCTATTTTGTACCTGCGTGCCTGTGTCTTTGTGACATTTTCTGGTGGAGGTGCTGGGTACGGTAGATGATACGGTCCCCTGAGAGCACCCCTGACGCAAGTCCATCAAGTATCTCAGCCGAGCTTACCCCTGTGCACGTACGTTCCAGCCGTCGTCTCCAGGGACTCAAGCCACAGCACGGTTTGCTGCCTGAACGTCAGAGGACTATGAATCAAACACCGCCTAACGTCACCGCGCCACCACCAGCGCACCTGGTTATCAACCAGCCCAAGACGCCGAAGACATTTCACGGAGCTGCTTTTGAAGATGCCGACGACTGGCTCGAGCATTTCAACCGGGTCGCCGTCATCAACGATTGGACCCCAGAGCGTAAGCTACGCTATGTGTACTGCTTCCTGGAGGACTCCGCGAAAACGTGGTTTGAGAACCATGAAGCAGCGCTTACGTCATGGGATGAGTTTCAACGGCAGTTCCTCAAGGCATTTGCCCGAGAGGACAGGAAAGAGACAGCGGAGCGTGCTATAGAGGCAAGGATTCAAGGCCCTAACGAAAGGGTGACGACCTACGTAGAGGACATGGATCGGCTTTTCAAGCGTGCGGAGCCCTCAATGTCCGAATCCAAGAAAGTTCGCCACCTAATGCGTGGTGTTAAAGAAGAGATTTTTGCCGGCCTGATTCCAAACCCGCCTGCGACACTTGCGGAGTTCCATGAGGAAGCCACTGCCATGGAGAGGGCCCTTCAACAGCGTGCCAGGCAGTATAACCGTGGTGTAAACCCAAGTGAGGTCACTTCTGTCACTCTCAGCAATGACATCAGCGCGTTGCGAGAGCTTATCAGAGCTCTCATTAAGGAAGAGCTACAAAAGATGCAGGTGACTGCTTCACCTGCAGAGCAGCTCTCCATTGCGGAGATGGTACGCGCCGAGCTACGGCAAGCCGTTCACGCTCCCCAACCATCCGAGGCGCCACAACAGAGGCACTGCGTCGAGATGAGCTACGCAGAAGCAGTGCGACGTCCTCCATCGTGCAGTTCAACCAGCGTATTTTACCCCAATGAGCGACACGCTCAGCAAATGGAGGTTGGCTTCCACCCTCGCAGCTCACCGTTGATCGCCGAAGCAAGACCGAGAAAGAGTGACATCTGGCGTACACCCGACCACAGGCCCCTTTGTTTCCACTGCGGGGAAGTTGAACACGTCTACCGAACATGTCCATACCGTCGTGTGGGTCTCCGTGGATTTTCGCCTAATGCCCCTCATCCACGACCTGGCGAGCGACCACAGGAAATAGAGTTTCATCTCGAATCGTCGCAGTATCGAACATCGGTCACAAGAGCCTCGCTCGTCGTCACCTGCTCGCTACAGGTCACCAAGCCCAGCCTATTCACGCGGCGCTCCAAGACGCCGTTCACCCAGTCCTGCAAGTCGGGAAAACTGAGTTCAGCGACCTCCGGAGCTGAGGCCGCTGACGCTGACTCTACGGAAGATCCTCCACTACGACGACAGCGACAGCAGCAAAAAGATGTACAGACGCAGTCAAACGTGATGCGAAGGGTGATGACATCAAACATTGCGGTAACTGTGGACGACGAAGAAGTAATGGCGCTAATTGACACTGGAGCAGACACTTCCGTTATGAGCATGGGTCTTGCCTGCAGGCTGAAGAAGGTTTCTACCCAGTGGGCTGGGTCGCAGATACGTACGGCAGGAGGCCATCTTCTTACTCCGGTGGGGCGGTGCACAGCGCGAGTCAGTATTCACGGATTTACGTATCTCGGAGATTTTGTAATACTGCCGAGTTGCTCGAGGGACCTAATTCTCGGACTGGACTTTCTGCGTGATAATGGAGCCGTGATTGATTTGCAACAGTCGCAAGTGACGTTTTCTACGGCACACGCTTTAGCGCGCAACCCTCACGGCAGTTACGTCAATGCTTTGAGAATTGTTGACGATGACGTCACGTTACCGTCGAAGAGTGCGTGTTCACCTTGGTAGCCTGCGACGTTTTTGACGAATTCAACGACTATGAAGGTATTGCTGAGGCAAATATCCCGCTGCTGCTCAAACGAAACGTATGCATAGCCCGATGCCTTGTTCGGTTAGAGAATAAACGCTCTCGAGTTCTGCTGACCAACTTCAGCAATGAGTTTCAGCACGTTCCTAGAGGGACTACTGTCGCTTTCCTCAGTGAAATCGCCGACTTTTTCGATATCGGCACATTGGATACGACTTCGCCGCATGCAAAAGCTTGTGTTGACCTGGGAAGCCGCATTCACGTTAATCCAGACTTGCCAGATTCACGAAAAGAGCGGCTGCTAAACCTTGTGAGGGAATTCTCGGACTGCTTCTCCACAGCATCGAAAGTTCAGCGTACCACCGTAACAAAACACCGCATTGTTACCGAGGAGTCGGTGCGGCCTCTTCGCCAACATCCATACCGTGTGTCCCCGAAGGAGAGAGAGGTGATTAAGCGTCAAGTTCAAGAAATGCTGAATGATGACGTCATCCAACCCTCGACAAGTCCGTGGGCGTCACCTGTTGTCTTAGTAAAGAAAAAAGACAACACACTACGCTTCTGTGTCGACTATCGACAGCTTAACAAAGTCACGAAACGCGACGTTTACCCCCTGCCACGGATTGACGACGCCTTAGACCGTCTACGCCACGCCCAGTTCTTCCCATCACTAGATCTCAAGTCAGGGTACTGGCAAATTGAAGTTGACGAGGGAGACCGTGAGAAAACTGCGTTCGTGACGCCTGACGGGCTCTACGAATTTAAAGTGCTGCCTTTAGGTCTCTGTTCCGCTCCCGCCACGTTTCAACGCATGATGGATACTGTACTAGCTGGACTAAAGTGGTAGACATGTCTTGTATACTTGGATGATGTCGTGTTTTCAACCACATTTGACGAGCATCTTTCAAGGCTAAAAAGTGTCCTCACTGCAATAAGGAGAGCGAACCTTACCATCAAGCCCGAAAAGTGCTACTTCGGCTATCAGGAACTCAAGTTTCTCGGCCACGTGGTTAGCCCGGGGGGTGTTCGACCAGATCCGGAAAAGTTGGCTGCCGTTGCCGATTTCCGTCGTCCTGGAGACAAAAAGGCTGTTCAGCGATTTCTCGGACTCTGTGCGTACTACCGCCGTTTTGTCGAAGGATTTTCGAAAATTGCGGAACCTCTTACAAGACTGACACGGCCAGATGTACCTTTTGTATGGACGGAAGAACAACAACAAGCCTTCGTAGAGCTGCGCAATCGACTGCAGACAGCTCCAGTGCTGGCACATTTCGACGAGTCTGCCGACACCGAGATCCACACAGACGCCAGCAACGTGGGAATCGGAGCTATTCTAGTTCAATGGCAGAACGGCGCAGAGCGTGTGATCGCTTACGCGAGCCGCAGTCTCACAAAAGCAGAGGCTAGTTACTCTACCACCGAAAAAGAGTGCCTAGCAGTCGTTTGGGCCATTAGCAAGTTTCGACCCTACCTATACGGCCGGCCATTTCGAGCGGTCAGTGACCACCATTCGCTCTGTTGGCTTGCCAATCTACGGGATCCATCAGGCCGCCTCGCCCGCTGGAGCCTCCGCCTTCAAGAGTACGACATAACGGTGGTCTACCGATCAGGACATAAGCATACAGATGCTGACTGCCTGTCTCGTGCTCCTATTTCCCCGACGTCATCTGACACTGAACACGATTTACCGTTCGACGATCCTTCGGCCGGTCACTTAGGCTTTGCTAGGACATTAGCGCGCATCCGACAGAAGTACTACTGGCCACAGCTGTATTCGTCCGTTCAGCGCTATGTCCGCACCTGCCGTGACTGTCAGAGGCGTAAAGTCCCACCCGCAAAGCCCGCCGGTTTCCTCCAACCTTTAGATCCATCTCGAGCACCATTTCAGCAAGTAGGAATGGATCTTCTTGGTCCCTTCCTTACGTCATCCTCAGAAAATAAGTGGATAATTGTCGCGACCGACTATCTGACTCGCTATGCAGAAACCAAAGTTGTGCCTAAGGGAACTGCAGTTGAAGTCGCCAGATTCTTTGTCCACGACATTGTTTTGCGCCATGGTGCACCTGCTGTTCTCATAACCGATCGCGGAGCAGCATTTACGGCAGAGTTATTGCAAAAAGTCACCAAGCTGACACACACCAATCACCGGAAAACAACAGCTTATCATCCCCAAACAAACGGCTTGACGGAGAGGTTAAACAAAACATTGGCCGACATGCTATCTATGTATGTTGATGTAGAGCACAAAACGTGGGATGAAATTTTGCCGTACGTCACGTTTGCTTATAACACCGCTGTGCAAGAGACCACAGACCTAACACCATTCGAGCTTGTTTATGGCCGTCGCGTCACAACACCGTTAGACGCTATGCTCCCCGTAGACCAGGACAACAGCGGAAATGACAGCGTTGACGACTTCGTTGAGAAAGCCGAGGAAGCCCGCCAGCTTGCGCGGAACCGCATTCGCGCGCAGCAAGATATCGACGCTCGCCGTTACAACCAAGGCCGAAGGAGCGTCCACTATCAACCAGGTGACTATGTATGGGTGTGGACACCAGTTCGACATCGTGGGCTTTCGGAGAAGCTGTTGCGGCGCTCCTTTGGCCCTTACGAAGTTGTGCGCTGCCTCAGTGACGGGAATTACGAGGTAGTTCCCCAAAGCTCCGACACCAGTTTAAACCGAAGACGTCCACGTCCAGAAGTAGTCCATGTAGTACGGATGAAACCGTACCACGCCCGCGAGTTATGAACACTTCGAACTTTTTCCTTATTATTTACAACAGCGTGGGCTTTTTTTTTTCTTCCATTGACGTGATCATTTTTTTCTTTCATGGCCACCTCTAGCATCTCAGTCAATCGACCGGGACGGTCTCTCTTGAAAGGGGGGAATTGACGCAAGGTAGGCTGGCAACTATAGTAGCCAGCCTCTGAAGAGGACAACGAAGTAGTTCTGTGTGCGCGTGCTCTGGTGTTCGGTTTTCTGGCCCTTGGGTTGCGAAAGTAAACGCCCTATTTTGTACCTGCGTGCCTGTGTCTTAGTGACAATATGTCAAACTTTGTTCGCAAATAAAAAATCAATAATGCATGCGATTTCCCGCGTGATATAGGAACCGTTCGATATAGGCAATAATTCGATATATCCCTGTTCGATATATTGTGGTTTGACTGTACAACACAATCTTTTTTGGTGATAAATACATATAGATGCATGCAAACTGCGAACAGGTTAAAATACGTGTGAATATTATGACCACCAGGAAGTATTCTTTTGTTACACTGTCAAAATGGATACAAAAAAAGTAGAAGTAAAAAAATAAAAGAAAAAAAACAACAGCATGCATGTGATGAACACATTGTAAGAAGCATAGATGCAAGGTAAATTTGCAAGCTTTAGGCATAAATTTGAAATTTATCAAAGAGAAAAACATCAACTAAGTGCAATCACGATAATTACGTATCTGTACTTATGCACTTCTGTCATTGATTCAACTGCTTGGGTTTGACTGCAGTTCGATGTCACTTTATGAAGCAATTATTTTTTCATCAGCAAAATGAGGTAGATGTAGGAGACAGCATGAGAAAATAATTTTTGACACTAATAACTGCTGTTTTTTTTTTTTTTTCAAACAGCAGTTTTGTAGATTGTGAATGAACATTATTGAGGCAATTAATAGTTTTCTTCTTGAGGAGCAAAAACCTTTTCAAAAAAAGTTGCCTGCTGCGGCTTAGCAAATAGCGGACGGCTGTTACGTCAGTACCGTCAGGCCAAGCCTATCAGCCGCTTTGCAGGCATGCTGGACAGTGCAGCGACTTTCACTATTACCAAGTACACATTCAGTTATTTGCACCTGTAGCACTTTTGTGAAATAATTGCAGAGAAATATAAAATGCAATTGGAGTCATAGATGGCTATCTCACGTACATAGTGCCAACTACGCAATCTTATTTTTGCATTTCAAATAACAATTGCAAGGTACCCCCCGTATCACAGAAAAAATGGCAGACATTCATAGTTTTAGTCTACTTAAATTGCATACGACCTGGGGCTGTTAAGTGAAAGTACCAAGTCTCCTGCAAACGTCATTTAGTACATAATGCAATATTAATTAAAAAAAGAAACATGCTCTAGCCACCTCCAGTAGGAATGCACCAAGCCGGCATCGTTACATAAATTAAAGCTGTCGTGTCAACTCCTTGGCAGCAAACAATCTCCTAAATACACTACTCCATGCCACCAAAGGCTCAAAAAAGGCAAGTTGCCCGAAAAGACGACAGACACAAATATGGCAGAGGCAAGTAAGCGAGCTGCAGTTACTTGAAGCCGACTTTAACAGTCAGCGCACAAAATTCCTAACTACAAAGGTTGCACAGTTCATGACCCCTGGCTTTCACTCGTATTCCAACAACACTGTGAACACGCACAATGGAGGATGTTACCCCATGAATCTGTTCACAACTGAACAAAAAGCATAAGTTTCCCATTATGAGGCATCCCATGATGGCTTCTCTCCCACATGATAACCACAAAGTGAACGCAAAGGCGATGGGTGAGAACAGGAAAGGGTTAGAGGACACCTGGCTGGCATTGGAAAAAATAGAGCAGTTGAGCCTACTCTTCAAAAAAATTGAGAAAGTGTGCCACTCTTTTAACAACTGCAACAGTAAGCTTTCATAATGTGATTTCCACAGACGAAGAAATTTAGTCAATCTCATGCCCTCTGCTCTGTGAAGTAGTAAAGACATGAAATTAATGAATGATCCCTTAATAGTGTCCTTCCAAGCTAGATATCAATGAGCAAAAACATAGCTATGACAAATGCAGTCATTAATGCAGGTGTACCCAAATCTTGCAAGCAGTACCTTGTCGACTGGCAGCGCAATGGGTGTCCTGTGGTCCTGAAAGTGGACCGTGATGCAGGGGCCAGGGGTGTCGTGGTCACAATAATCAAGGCGCTGGGGCTCCATGAGCATCTTGCGGTTGCCACCTCCAAATTTGCCCAGCACACGGAAGGCCACCTGGGCAATGCTGTCGGTTGGGTTGCGCAGCGTGCGCCACAGGGCCTGCATCAGCTCAGCCCGCACAGGCTGGATGTGGTCATAGAGAAAGTCCGGCTGTAGGTTGTCCACACACAGCTCCAACGTGCGCAGGCCCTGCATGTAGTGCGTACCACGTGTTACTAACAGAAAAATTTTGCATCTTGATTTTCCTGTTGCAAGAGGTAGCTAATGAACCACTAATCACGGCTGGAAAGTTTGTTTGCATGAAAGTCCGATGGTCTATTATTTGAAGATGGTCTTGTGTCGCCTATCCGCAGTTCCAGTTCCAAAGAGCGCATAGACGAGACCCAGATGGCGACGAAGGGTGGCAACAAGCTCAGACGCTGGCAAAGAAAAGCGAGGCAAAAGAAGATGAAGACCAGAATAGAGCAGCCAGCCCAACATATGAGCATTGTCTCTTTGTCTCATTCCTTACAACGGAACAGTAACAAATAGAAGTAATGCTAGCTGCTACCGTAATCCATGAGCTGCACCTGCCATTTCAGTCCGCAAAAAGAACGGCAGTCAATGATTTTGTGTTGAATGCAGGGAGCTAAATGAATACTCAATACCAGACTCATATCCGCTTCTGTGTATTGATGACTTTATTGACATTCTACTAATAAGAACTAACAGACAATAATGTCAGGGAAGGTATAGAGGATGTTAAAAGCAATATTAAACAACTTTTTTCATCTCTTGATTTGAAAGTAGGCTATTGGCAAATCAATGTCGTAAAAGACAACAAGTGCAAGAGAGCTTTCCAAACACCTTCTGGCTTGTACGAGTTTACTAATATGCTTTTTGTGCTGATAACAGCCCGAAGTACATACTAGCCGGCCATGAAAATAGTACTGGGTTCACTGAAAGACCACACCTGCATTGTGTACCTCAATGACATCATTATCGGGGAAACAAAAAAGCAACATGTGCGAAATCTGGACAAAGTTCTCACGAAGTTGCATGACACAAGATTCAGTCTTAACTGCGAAAAGTGTAAGTTCGACTTGACGACAATATCCTATATCCTTTATACCATTTCTCACAATGGCTTAAAGCCCCTTCCCACAAGAATTCAAGCTGTGACCAAGTATCCCATGCAAACCTGCATTAAACAGCTGCAGGTATCCCTCCAAATCGTGTCGTACTTGCAAAAGGTTCTCCCTCACTTTTCGTTTACAGATGCACTGCTCACAGACCTGTAAACCCTCTACAGCCTAATGGCAGGACTTCGCGGCGGCTGTCAAATACTCACGGGGAACATTGCTTTCAGTATGAAAAATTTAGCGCTATCTTTGTGCAACGTATATGTTAAAACCAATTGTTTTGTAGCTCATGGTAGACAGTGCGAAGTGCGTGCAAGGTGCCCACTTATTTCTTGTTTTTCACCTGGCTAACGCAACTTCTACCTTCTAGAATATTGTTTATTTGGTGTGTTCGCACTCAAGACATGGCACACAATATGCTGCGTAGTAGTGTAGTCCGTTTTTCAGTGCAAGATCCTTGATTGATATGTGGGGTTTAACGTCCCAAAACCACCATATGATTATGAGAGACGCCGTAGTGGAGGGCTCCGGAAATTTAGACCACCAGGGGTTCTTTAACGTGCACCCAAATCTGAGCACACGGGCCTACAACATTTCCGCCTCCATCGGAAATGCAGCCGCCGCAGTGCAAGATCCTTGCTTCTGTGTTCTGTGGCACGTGGAAGATTCGCAACATACCGTAAAAACCAGCGTATAGCCCGGGTTTTTTAATTAGTGTACAAAATTTCGGCCCTGTACTACACTCCAACACGGATGTATTGAACCAACATATATAGAATTTTTGAGTATATCTAACTCGTGTAAGTTATGCCCATGAAATTCCTTTGTAAAAGTATAGAAATTCGTGCACGTTTATATCAAAGAGTACTTCTACCCGCCTTCGCATATATCTCAAGTCGCGCAAGCTTGAAGGTTCGCTTCGGCACTCACCACGCCCCGTGATCTTCGCGGCAGCAGAGGTCCGTGCACGAGTTGGAAGTTGCGTTTTGGCCCTCGCAGCACCCGGCAAGCTCAGCGCGACACCACGCCTCCGCCAAAACCCAAAACACTTGAAAAAAGGTAAGGGTGACAGGGTTCGAACTGCACACTCTCGAACTTGCAGAATAGGGGAGACCCCTTCAAGTTTGCCCGCCGACGCCAGCGCTCGCCCTTCCCCTGCCAGAAAAAGCACACACTAGTAGCCTGTAGTGACCCTTCCGCTCCCTTTGGCTCCCACGCATTTGCGAAGCGCACGCTGCCAGTGAAATCCCCCTCATTTCGCGACGTCACCCCAACAGAAAGGGGGGAACTATTGCTGCGTCGTCAACTGTTACAATAGCCATGCAAACACTGCAGGGTCAACTCCACCAGTGAAATTCTACCGATTCCCAAACCGATGGTACGAAAAAAGCAGATGACAGGAATAGATTAAAGCAGTGCGCCAAAAGAAGTAAGAAAACAATTTTTAAAATAAAAATTTGCACGCGCACAATGCATTCAACATAACCGGTGTTAATTCCTGCGTCACCGTTCCTCTTGTCTATCGAGTTAATGGGAGATGCACGTCCTCATCTTAAAAGTATAAATTACCATAATACTTTCAACTTCCGAATTTAGAGCGATGTTAAAAAATTACGAAGAAATATGTTTATGCTGCTACTAATATTCAATATTGTTGGAGACATAGTAGTTGAAGCTGTGTACACATTTGGTATTAGTGATGTGTGGTTATATACTTTTTATATCTATGCAGCGCCGACAGAAGTGTGTGGTTGCCAAAAGCTTGGACAATGATTTGTAGCAGACATTTTCTGGGAAACTGCAAAAATGACTCAAGTCTGCACCCGTCATATGTGCCGACAGTTTTTCCAGCGGCTTACAATAAACGGGCACCTCACGCAGAAACGGCGCAGCGGTATGATAGGCACTGAAGCGCTATGCATTTTAAGGCATTTTCTGAGGACTCTTGATTCCGATTTCAAGCTCAGCGAGAATTCGTTCCGCGTATGCGCAATTATCAAGTAAAGCTAAAATAGAAGAATTTTGATCAAACATGACACTTTGACAGGGCCACATTTTAAGGGTAAAATCGGAATGCAGTTAGTAACAAGCACATTGCTTTTTTTGATAGTTTTCATACAAAGTAAAAATGATCCAAGCAATAGACAATGCAAAATGTTTAATCAATAAGTTTTCATATGTAGCTATCTCCGTGAAGCTCTCATATGAAATGTTTCTGTGTACACAGATGGACACAATTGCTAGATTTTTTTAATGGGGCATTTTGCCATCGTACATGTTTTCATAGAGTTTGATTTCATATGCAGTACTTGTTTCATTTGTGAATGTAAGACGTTACTAACAGGATCACGAAAAACCCTTAGACATATACTCATTTTCAGACTTCTTGTACTTTTTATACTTGAAGATGATAAAAAAAATTATTGTTATCTGGCGCACTACAGATATTGATTGATTGATATGTGGGGTTTAACGTCCCAAAACCATCATATGATTATGAGAAACGCCGTAGTGGAGGCTCCGGAAATTTCGACCACCTGGGGTTCTTTAACGTGCACCCAAATCTGAGCACACGGGCCTACAACATTTCCGCCTCCATCGGAAATGAAGCCGCCGCAGCCGGGATTCGAACCCGCGACCTGCGAGTCAGCAGTCGAGTACCTTAGCCACTAGACCACCGTGGCGGGGCCGCACTACAGATATCCTCAATGTTTTGTACAATATATTAAAAAAAAAAAACTCCAACATATAAACGTTGTTGTGAACGGCACGATATAATCTTTGCCACAACCTTATTTTGCTTAGGTGGAAGCATCATTCTGTGAGGGCAGCCAGATCAGCACGAAATTCCGTGGAGCAGGCTGTGCCGCAAGGTATTGCTTAAGATGACCCAGCAATGCAAGATGAAGAGAACTCTGTTTTTCTCTATGTCTATAACACACTTTCAAGTGATTTGGAATCGCTAGAGACGCCAGCTATGCAACTACATTTGCCCTTGGAGAAGCGAAGCTCCCGCTTGAGTGGGAACGACCACAACAACTACGAAAAAAAGAGAAAAATGCATTAGTCGTTGCACGTTCATTGGCTGATACAGTGAACTAGTTGTCACTGAGTGAGCAGGTGCAGCCCGTACAACACGGTGCATTTTCGATAGTGATCAAGATAAAATGCTTTTATAGCAATGTGCTCTTCCCCCGTAGATTAGACACACGAAAAAAAGTTTCTCCGAAAGCTGGGCGCTCATCATGATAGTACGCACGCTCTTCGTAAACTCAAAGTACCCGCGATGAGAACGGTGATAATGCAAGGAAGGACACGCGAGATAGATGTCAATTTTTGTTGTGAATAAGTAAGAAGCCCCAAATAGACCATTTATTTTTGAAGTGCTGTGTATATACCGCACGATAACTTGGGTGGGTGCTAGTAAATTGAGGTATCCCAACTAATAGCAGTCACAGTGCACACTTGACCTAAAGCACGAGAAGCGGCCTTACCCATGCATCCAGTAACAAACATAGTGCATAGTACACACAGCAAGCCAAATAAAACAGGTATATAATTATGAACGAACAGAAAGTTGTACTCACCTCTAACTTCTCGTCGTAAACAGTGTTGTCTTTCACATGCGAAACACACTTCGCTTTGACGAGGACGGCGTCGTCTGCTACAACTTGCTTTATACCGGCTACGTGGCAGAGCAGACGCTGCCCTTTTACCAAAATGTTGCCATGAAAAAAATTCTCAGTTGCGGCGATCCTATTAAACGTGGACATAAGCATATACATCATAACCGCGCATAAGGCGAAACTTTCAAAAACACGTGCAGAACGCGTACAGCGTGCGAGCAAAGCAACGCGTTTTCAAGGCAGGTTGAAGGGGGCAAAGGAGGGGTTAACACTCGAGTAACCAGTTTTCAACCCACATTGACTGACAGCACCCTGCACTGCAGCGCCTCCCTCGGCGTGGGTCTCCTCTATGGCTTTTTTTTTTTTTTTCGCTTCTCTTTCTCTCTCTCTCTCAAGCTTTCTCCTCCGTGTACCTGTCATTTCGCACAGCAGGACAAAGGAG